TGAGTGAAACCCTGTAAAGTGACTACCTTATCACCTGGAGTATCAGGTGGTATTGACAAGATAGATGCATAAATTTACTGTAAAGAGTTCTTGGTTAGAACAACTTATGACTGATCAATTATTTGTTGTTTTATGTCTGGGCCAAAAAAAATTATGTTGGTCAAAACAATGAAGTGGTCTTAAAGTGGGATACGAGGGTGGCCGCAATGAACTGTAAGCAGATTCATTTAAGGGTGCTCCCTGTGAGATGTTGACTTTAACAGCTACTCCAGCTCTTACATTTGAAATTCCAATTGTTCAATTGTTGTAGAAAACTGCTCAGTCATAACTTCATTACAAAATGAAGAGTGTCTACATGTGACTTAAAACTTCCTTGGGAATTCCCATATTGGTGTAATCATATCTGTTCAATATAATAAAGTTAATGTTGCTGTTTCCTTGTTGTTTCCTGAATTTGATCTCTGGCACTGGCTCCGGTTTTGATTGATTTTAGGAAATACAGAATTAAAAAGGTTTCAAATTACAACCTTAATTTAATATTCTGGCATTAATTATTCATTAATGGTGGCAATCATTGTAAATTGAAAAAGTATGGTCAAGTCAGTGAATTTCAATGAAATGAAGCTGCCAGAATTAATTCATGTCAAAACAACCGCGTAATATTTCAGCAGGAATTGTGAACAAGCTAACAAATGATCCTTTGTTTATGATAACAATAATTATTGTTATCCATTTGATCAGTTGGGGGAATTTTAGTAAGGTAAAATTACAGCTATGACAACTAGCCAACTAAAGCGAACTCTAATAAAGTAGTATTTATATCTGAATCTTCAAAACTGTATAATTTTTAGTTATCAGACCTACAGTACATTCAAAGTTCACTGTTAACTGAGCAAAAGAGCACACCCGATACTGTAACCAATTACTCTGATATTGGTGAGCTAGGTACTAGTTGGTTTTTACATATTTTTTTTTTCAACAGAAGCAAACATTAAAACTTACCTCTGTGACAATCGATGTGAACTTGGAGTATGTTATCTCTCAAACAATGTGACTTATTCCTTGGGCGGGTTTCGTTTGCGGAAGAATTTAGACAAGACCAGCTGGCTCGGCGCGCGAAAACTTGCAACAAAAGTTAAAACCAGGAATTAGAGACCGATTTAACAACATATAGCCTCCTTTGATGTGGTCAAACTCGCCAATGATCTCAAAACGTGGTCAAATTCCATTTTTCCTTTTTCCCCAGTGATGATTCAATTGATTTTCATCGGCGGTCATTTCAAAAGCTCAGTGATCAGATGCGATCGCTTTAAGCGCGACGGAAAATCGGGTCTATATCTGCGGTCACTCTCTGTAACTTCCAGAATAGCCTTTCCCACATTAACGTGATGATGGCTGTCCTTTTCATCCACTGAGCAAACGTGAAATTCCACCGCCATTTGTTCATATTGATCTTTTGTTTTGCAGTAAGTAAAATTAGAGATGACGAGTTAGCGGAACAGGTGCAGCTAAGTAACCAGGTAAGACGTTAGAAGGCCTGGCTCATACATAATCGCAGAGGGTAGAAAGGAAAAACATAATCGAATTCTTTCGTATTCGCTCTGTTGTCTAGGAATGCCAAACGTCTGCAGTTCCTCACCATGTTTCTACCAGACTTTCTCTCTGTTTTAGGTTATACCAGATCAATAAGGCACCTTTTCCATTCATTGAATTGAATGACATAAAAGTTTATCTTGTGTGATAACATGTTTTACAATAACACAAGAGAAAAACTGGTTATTGTTTTCCAAATTGAACCTCTCTGTTCCTTTTTCCCAAGTGGAAGACAATTATATCAAAGCGCAAAGTGCACAAATTCCATTATGTCTGGGATGCCATTTAGAAGGCAAAACACTGTCATATGAAATCAAGAAGTAAAGACAAATTCTTAGTCTGTTGTAGATCCTCAGGAAAACTAAGGATAAAAAAACACAATGTCGCAGCAGATACAAAACAACTATTATTCCAAGACACTTTTTCAAAATATCAGGACAAGGTTAAAAATAAATTTGATTTCATTGTGATTACTTGACTTGAGAAAGCCTCACTTTTTTGATAAAGGTCCTGTCCTCTTTTTGAATGGTAGTGAAAAAGGGCCTCTAACTTTTAACCAAACTACTAAATATATGCACTTCCTCTTTATATTTTTGTCAACATAAGACATTTAACTTCAAAGAACACAGTTTTGAATAATAATATGTGATTACAGCCTATTGCAGAGTTGTTTTTATGTGCCAGATCATACTGACAGCTTTACAGATGCCGATATCAGAATAGTTGAAGTAGCAGAGCCCAATAAACTGTAAATTGACACAGCCAGCCAGAGACCCTTTGCAACTTTTGGCATTGTTGAACCATGAATGTAGTCAGTCAGGACTTGGCCAACACCCCTGTGAAGTAAATATAGAGTTCAATTAGAAAATAATGATTAGTGGCCACGTAACTGAACGTGAAGTACCGA